AGACCAAATGTTAGTCGCCTGAGGCGACCGGGCGCCGCTAGAGCACAGCCTTGCACTGAGATTCAGAAAACTGTTAACACTTTTATGTCATTCTGGTAGATCAAATGAGTATTGACCTGTTGCAATAAAGTAAAGTAAACTGAAACAAACGTCTGAATCTACAAATTGTTGCTTTTCTGGGTTTTGTTTTCTTTCCCTTGGCTCACTCCTTGGCACACCTAGAGATTTTATTATCTGGGGGCATCTGCCTTAAAAGGAGCACAAACGTACAGGGCATATCTATTGAAGGGTCCAATTTCCTTAGTTCTGAGCTTGTCCGCTAAATGGAATGTCCATTAACTGCAGTGGGAATTGCATTCAAAATGTTACTCTTACCTTGATTTTACAGCTGAATGGGTACTTCTCAAAAACATAGTTCATTGTATGTCATGTGGGTGCCTAGCAATTATGCAAGAAATTCATGTAAGGAAGAGAGAGTGTAACTTCTTTCCATGTCCTAATTTTCTAATTACTTACTCCTGGTTTAATCGAACACCTGCTACTCAGGCAACAGTTTTATTATATTTACATGGTCTTCCTCTGAGTCCTGTGAAATTACAGTGAAGTCCATTAATGAAGAGTGTTGAGTAAATGAAAATATGAAGAATGTTAGATTCATTCTAGAAGCAGGTTAGTTATATAACTACTAATTTTAGAATGCTTTTAACCCTTTAACTCCCATCAGTGACTGAGACAGAATTTCTCCTTACAATATCAACACAATATCAAGCAGACAAGTGATGAGAATTAAGATACATATCAATTAGGGGATTATTAGTTGATCCAATACCAAATTCTCAAACCTAACATCATAAAAATTGTATGGTAGACAGTAAAGAGAACTGACTAATGAGATCTTGGGATCTTGGTTAAAACATTATATGGCTAAGGTTCCTTTGACTTGAGAGCACTCTAGGTATTCTCCCTCAAGCAATGAAGTTCTAAAATCATTCAAGTTTTGCTGTCATCTCATTTCTGAAGTTGTTTCCCTCATTTCCATTTGGCCGAGATTTTATGAGATTGTATGTGTGTACACCTAACATTGGCAAAAACTCTGACTTAAAACCGGAGAGAAGTGCGGAAAAAAATAAAATGTTGAAATATTGGTGAACACCCGCCTTAAAGTAAGATGGAAGGTGGGACATACAGGTGTGTAAATAGCCCACTTTTTGCATAAGTAACTTGCTTATGTTTGGTCTCTTATGGTCCTTGATAACAGTCAATTTCAAAGAACTTCACACATCCACTTCTGGTCAATAGATCAGTGCGGCAATATTTCCTAAGGCCGGACCACTGAGTGGGGCTCTACTGTATTTTTGCGTATTTTACCTCGGCATAGTACTCGGATTACATCTTTAAATGCCATTTTGAACTGCTTATTCAAGAATGCATATATGATAGGATTGCAGATTGTGTTTGAAAATGCCAGCCATGCTGCCACCAGAGGAAACGATGAAGAATCACTCGCATGCAGGTCTAGAGTTTCGAGGATGCTATACACAGCGAAAGGAAACCAACAAACTTTGAATGCCAGAATAGTCACCAACAATACTTTAACTAGCTTTTCTTGTTGATTAAATCGTTTCTGCGTTTTGCCGAGCCGCACGATACCTGATTGTTCTGACGGAGTTGGAGAAATGACCCGAGATGTTTGGCTGTTGTTGTCCTCTATGACTGTTGCGTCTTTAACGCTAAACGTTTCTACTGGAGCCAGTCCTGAAGATGTTGAAGGCGTTGTGCCTACTGCTCGCATATGCAACTTAAAGTTATGGATTGTTCCTGTTTCGGCAATCAGTGTGCTTGCACCAGTCTGAATGCTAGAATCAGGAAAGTTAATTATTACCTCAGGCACTTTGCCAACTTGATCAAGGTTGGAACAGCTCAACTGACTATCGGTAGCACCACACCACCCTTTACTGGAGCGAAAATTCTTGTTATGCTTACGAACAAACTTCATAATCTTGTAGTAAAACACTGTCATGAGGCACGAAGGTATACAAAATAGCGACACAAGTATTAATATACTGTAAGACATATGTTTTGACCAGTTCAGCGAGCACGTGGAAATACTAGAGTTGAAATAAAACTCGCCCCACCCAAACACAGGGGGAAGGGTGAAAAAGATACTTACACCCCATATGGCGCCCACCATACATTTTACCAATCTCCATAATTCAAGCGTGGAGTATTTATAGTAAGAAGTGATGGTTTTATATCTGTACCAGCTGAAGCTAAACAAAGTCAACAAAGTCACGTTGGAGAGCAGAACTATGACAAAAGCCTCCACTTGGCAGATAGCTTCCCCAAAAATCCAATTGTTATTACAGAGCACGGTGATGTAGGAAAGAGGTATGCAGATAAGACCTGCTGAAATGTCCGTCACGGCTAAATTCAAGACAAATATATTGGCTGGCACACGCCGAATGACTTTTTTTGTCGCAACAGAGATGACAACAATAGAGTTGCCACCTAAAGCCACCAACGAAATAAATATCATTGGAATGGCTTTCCCAACAGAAGACCAAGTAACTGAAGGAGTTGAGGAGTCATTCATAGTTTGGCTAAAGCACAATTTAGCTAAGTACTAAACTGCCTTAAATAAGCGCGCACTTTCGGTCGGGTTGTTTTTAACGAAAGGAGTCAATGTTTGAATAACAACTTCCGTCCGATGCTTGTTCACTAGGAAAAGGTCTTCAACCAAATATGACGAATTTCTTCAAACGGTCTTTCAGCGATTTGAAACCAACGTTTCACCAAGCGTAGGATCCTCCAGACCTAGTTGGCTTGAAAATTTGAAAAGTGATAGCGAATAACTTGCTCCTTAAAAGTGTATTTGCGAGAATAACTTTTAAAGATCTTTCAAGTAGCTTGACTCACTGCAATGTCTGATTCTTTTGGCGGGTTTTCCTGAAGCTCATCGAGAACTTAATTCCATTTAGATGTGTACTCCTCTTACGGCTTTTTCATTCAATCTGAACAAATGTTGTTATTCTTTACCAGGTATTCTATCTTTTCTGGCGACCCCTGCTTTTAATTAAACGTCAAAATGTCAAGAAATGTTCCATTAGTAGACCAAAGTAATCTCCGCTCCATCATCAGTTTTTTCGTTTTTGTCAAATATTGAATGACTAGGAAAATAGTGCCTCAATAGAGCCACCTGTTTCCACTTTTACATTGTACATCGGCGGCAAATTGGTTGTCAGTCCGATTCTTTCGGTGGTAGCGGAGTGACTGAAGCACTCAAAAATTGAACTTGACCCAAATAAAAGCTCATGGGTTGGAAACGAGGAGAAAAACGTCCAGTTTTGACACTTCGTAGATCATACGAACGGCGTGTGCCCCTCTGGGAAGGGCTTAATCTCTCTACACCTGTATTTACCTGAGGTTGTTGCCTGTCGGAGAACAGACGATTATATTTACCGTCTTTTTCTTCATTCTTTGGGAGTGTTTAATTAGAAAACTAAACGAAAAAGGCGTCTTTTCTTTCACCCTTTGATTCCCACGGGTGACCAAAACAGTGTTTCTCCTTACAATATCAATACAATATCAAGCAGATAAGTGATGGCAATAAATAAAAATATCAATTATAGGGGGTTGTTGGTTGATGCAATACCAAATTCACCGAACTAACAGCATATGAATTGTATGGTAGAAAGTAAGGAGAATTACTGACGAGATCTTTGAAGTGGAAGGCAGAGGGGGATGAGTGAGGGGTCAGTCCTTAGAAAGGCCTTTACACGTTGAGTTATTGTGGAAGGTGTAAGGAAAACTACATATTTGAAAGGTTTTACGTGTTAAAAAAAGGTTTCAACCACAGTGAAGCGATTTAAAGCTTTTCACTGAGTTGAGCAGAGCACTTGTTTCTGGCTTTCTAAAGTCTAGTCACAGACCCTCCATTCTGTCCAGGGTCAGCATCGAGGGCGCGAGCGAAAATAGAGTTTCGGGGGATTTAATACTTTTATTTTCACCATTTATGTAATTTTTCCTTTCTTTCTGGTTTTTTTTCATCTTATTTTGGACCTCTTGCGCTCGTTCTCGCTACCCCGCTCAGCAAAAACAAAAATAATGAACAGCAAGTAAGAAAACAAATATTTACAATGAAACACGGACTGGGAGGGACACCAGTCTCTTATTTGTCTTCAGACAAGTCACAGGGATACCAGGTGGATTGCTTTAGTTCTACTTAGGGGACGCCCTGTTAATCCTTTAACTTCTACGAATGACCAAGACTAAATTTCTCCTTACTACTTTGAAACAACATCAAGCAGGCGAGTGATGTAAATAAAGAAAAATATCAATTAGGGGATTATCAGTTGATCCGATACCAAATTCTCTAAAACAACATCAAAAGAATTATATAGCTTATAGTAAGGAGAATTACTATTGAGATCTTAGGAGTCAAACGGTTGATAGTGGGTGTAGGAACAAGTGCAACATTTTTTTCAAGCGAGTAAAGCCTCTACTTTCCTCAAGTTTAAAATATTCTTCCAACGAGTTGTGGAGGAAATAATGAGAAGCTATGATTTTTCTCTGTGATTGGATGAAAAAATTCACGCCCCACTTCCTCGACCAATCAGATGCATACTATGCTTAACCTTTAACTCCCAAGATCTGATTGTAAATTCTCCCCTCTAGCTGCTACACATTTCCTTCTAAATTAGTTCTGAGAATTTGGTGTCAGATCAAGAAAATCAACTTCTACGCGATAAGTTCAAGTATTATCATTATCTGTTTGCAAGATAGTGTGAGGATATTATAGAAGAAGTTACCTCTCAATCACTTCTGGGTGTTAACGGGTTTAAGCCAGCTGTCGTTTTTACTTTGAATTCCTTCAAAAAATACTCGTTGTCACTGGGTGTTGAAATAATTACACAAACGAACGCAACATGCAAAGAAATAAAACACAATGTTTCAAAATTTATTCCAACAAATACTTTATTTGCTTTTGCAACAAATTTGTTTTAAATACAACAGACAGGGGCATCTGTGGATCCCTCCTTCCTGTTGCTGGGACTTCTTTTCAATAACACAGTGAAAGTATAGACTGCTAGACTGCAGTCAAAAGGAGCTTCAATTTTTTTTCTTCTTTTCGTTTTTATTTCTCGTCACTGTATCCTGTCATTATGGAAAGGGCCTGCTGAGGCAAGAAAATAGATTCAATTAAAAATAAATCCCAGATTTTTGCAAAGTAAATGGCAAGTCTATCTCCTTAATGGAAGGAGTGGGGGGTGTCACTTTTGCTTGATCACTGTCACTTTTGCTTGATAGAGAGGGCTCCATGTACACCTTACCCCACATCCCCCTTCCTGTGTAGGGAACTCTGGTTGGCTTTGATACCACACTGTCTTCTAAACAAGAGTTGCATTGTTTGCTTCAAAGAGAGACTGTAGCTTAAAACATCAACCTTTTAGCATGAAGATAAGGGGTGAGGGGTGGGGGGGGTGCAGGGTGATCAAGCTATGCCCTCCATTTGGCAACAAGAATGGCTGTCACTCACCAGGCATGTAGGATACTGACGACGGAGTAGAAGTGGGCACAGCATTAGGTGCCACTGAAGGAATGTAAACATATGGGGCAGGGCCAGGTGTAACTTGTCCCTGAGGGGGTGCGCCAACCTGAGGCTGTCCTGGCATCGGGGAGCTGAAGACAAACTGACCTGACTGTGAAGGGCTAGGCTGCGGCTGACCTTGAGGGGTGCCTGCACTTTGCATGGGTGCACCAGCAACTGAAAAAAAAATAAAAAAACAAATCATAATTTGTGCAGCTTGTCTCAGTCTGTCTCTAATTGAAACTCACGCTACCTAGTGTTCAAATCTTGAATGAGGACCCACCTATTTTTCCTTGTCTTGCCATGATTAAAAAAACTGTTGTTTCACATCTCTCTTTCATCAAAGAGTACTACTGAATACTGGTTGGTAAAAAAAAATTCTTACCATAAACTGGGACAGGTGTGCCATCCTGGTATGTCTGTGTCATTGGAACAGTACCTGCCCCTGCTGGTGATGACACCTGAGCAAAAGGAAAAAAAAAAAATTGTGTGAAAATAAGTTCTCTTGTGCTTAAAGGGTAAGTTTCTCAAGAAACTGTGGTGCTGCATCAGTGGGCCAGTATCACAGGGTAATTTGGTGTTATCAATTGAGTTGACAATGTAAACTGGCCAATTTAAAGAGTTTCAAAGCTGATGTTTCAAGCATTAGCCCTTTATCAACCCAGTTGATAACACCAAATTACCCTCTTGTGCTTCAGCTTGATGGAAGCAGATATAGTTTCCACATGCTCACAATTTCACTCTCATAAGCAATAAATAATATAAATATATTGGTAAAAGATAACTTATCTGTACTATATAAGTTTGGGTGACAAGAAACAAGATTTGAATCACATTCTATCAAACAGACAACAGTTACTTACAGGAGCAATAAATCGTGCTGGACCGTGTCCTGGAGGAACAACAAACTGCCAAAAAAAAATAAATAAATAAATAAATTGTATGACTCAGTTCAAGGATAGTTTCCAAGCTGGATGTATTTAGGAAAGCTTTACCCTTAAACTCCCAAGATCTGACTGTTAATTCTCCCATTTAGCCACTAAACAATTATTCCTTGTAAATTAGTTTCAAGAATTTGGTGTTTGATCAAGACAATGACTTCTACCTGACAAGTTTGAAATTATCCTCAATACCTGTTTGCTAGGTAATGTCTGGATATTACAGGGAAAAAGTTACACTATCGAAGTTGATCACTTAAGGGATTTATGAACACAACTTGCAAAATGACTTTTTCGTGGAATTTCATGGAACAAAATTTAAAATAAATCAAAACAAATCAAAACCACCTTCACTGCCTACCTGTGGTAACATTGGCTGTGGCACCATTCCTGCATGTGGCTGGACGTAAGTGACAGGCTGTGGTGGAATTGGACCGTACATTTGCTGAGGAAATCCACCTCCTGGTGTGATAATTGGGCTGCCAGTTGCAGCAGCTGCCGATAAGAAGGTAGGCGGTGATTCCCCTTGGTCACGGCCACCTCCATATGACTGGCTTCGTGCAGCTGTAACAATAAACAGTCCATTTCATTGACTATGTTTCACACTTGATGCAACAAAATGTCTCAAAAGTAAATGACAACCAAAAACAGGAAAAAAACCTAAAACCACTACTAAACATACGTTTATTGAATGGCTGTTTGCTTCTGTAGAGTTGAGGTACCACCATCATTGGTTGGGGGTGGGGAGGGAAAGGACCTCCTGCCACTGGAGCTCTGATGGAAGTTGGTGAGAAAGGTGGTGGGCCCACTGATATGTATTGTTGTGGAGGTGGAGTTGACTTCTGAAGACAAAAATACTATCAGCTTCTTGTTATAGAACAACTATTGGAAAATTGAAATGTCATCCCATCGCCATGGCACCCAAGCTACCGAGCAAAGTTGCTGAGTAATTAACCTAACCTCAAGTTTAGTTTTGTTAACCCCCAAAATTACTCTTTTTATGTCTCGGTTAAATCAAGAAGTGGAAGTGTCAAATCCTTCCAGCAGAATATGTGTTACACCTCTTAATATGAAGGTGTTTAAGGTAAATAGTTCCCTTGTGCAAGCAAATGGCTAATGAAAATAAGTCTACAAGGTCTACGGTTTTAAAGCTTGGTTAATGTGTAGAAAGTTGTGATCACTGATTTTGCCTTTTACACAAAAAATTGGGTGTGGGAATTGAACTAAATTTTTGGAACAGGAAGCGGGAATGGGAACAAACCTACCTTCAAAAGTTGGGTGGTTACCTGAAGGGAGGGGTGGAAGGAAAGAGATGTTGAAGCTTTGAATTGATTGACACAACTTGTTCTACAATCCTCCCCATTTGACTGTGACATTACATTTGCCATTTAGAACAATAATAGAGACACAATCAGAACTAACTATTAACCATTTGCACCCCAACAACAGTATTCATATTCTCTATATACTGTTCTCTATATACATTTCCTGAGGTGCTCACATGGCGAATTTGACTAGGAATCAAGGGACTCTAAAGATGGTGATCATTTCTTCTATTCTTGTGACCTCATTGCATGATTCAGAGGTGATATTGTAAGGAGAAAATAGTTGCTTGTCAAATGGTTAACTTACTTGAGCCTTGGGAGTGAATTTGAATTCTTTAGCAAGTGGATTTAGCTTTGAAGTAGACAGAATGCTAGAAAGTAAGACATGGCAGGATTAGAAAAACTTGACTTTGAAACAAGAAAAAAACAGGACTACAAAAATCTAAATTTACTTGAGTAAACCTGAAATTTAATTACCTGGCTTCTCCATCTTTTTTCTCTTCTGATTTGGCCACATCTGGAGAAGATGGCGTCCCTGATTCTAAGAGAGAGGTATGTGAACAGTCAGACATAAAGGGATATTCATTTTCAACCAAAGGCGAGTCCAAAAATATGTAAGAGACCACCACAATTAACAACATTTCATATTTCTCAAAATCAAAATGTCTTGTACCCGTAATCCAGGTCTACTGTGGATCATCCACCCTCTACCCTTTAACATCAGTTTGCATATTCTCCATACTGTTTACCATACATTTCTTAAGGTGCTGACAAGGAGAATTTGTTTAACAATCAAGATCCTCTTTAGTTGATGATCATTTCCTTTATTTTTGTGAACTTAGTGTGTGATTTAAGGGTAATAATTTAGGGAGAAATTACATGCTGGTTGCTCTCAAGGGTCGCAGGGTTCAGAGAATTCTGGAGATTCTATCATAAACATATCACTTCTATGCTTGACAAAGTATTCAAGATGCGGGAGAATTTAATTTAAAATTAGCTCTTCCAGTTCCCTAATTGACCATGAACAGCACAAAATAACTTGGATGGAGAATCTAATGGTTGATCCAGAGTCACTTTGGTCTTTTCCCCTACACCCTTTCAATTATATGTTTTTAAAAAAATACATACCATTGACAGAGGATGTAGTGGTCTTAGTCACTGTAGCCTCAGCCTGATCTGCCTCTGGAGGAACTGTTTGCTGCACATCTTTTGCCTTCTTGGAAGACTTTTCTTTTAGCTATAGAAAACCCAACAAATAAGAGTTGATACAATTAATTTTGGTGATCTGCTTCTTAAGATTTCCATGCTACAATGAGTTTCATTGATACCTGTATCTCAACATTTTCAAACTAGACTGCCATAACTCTGACCTTCCCACTATACTCTGTCACTGTTAAAGGTGATCTCTGGAAAATTTGTAGTTTGAATTCTAAATCTTAAATACGTGCAATGTCAAATAAGTTTTTCTGTTTCATTAGATATATACCAATCACATCATTTCATGAGATAAAAAGCTAAACTTACATTGAAGTTGGAATGAAACTCTTTCAGATCTGCAGAATAATAATGATAATAAAAAACACCTTTGTTAAATTTCCTATATCCACAAATGCCCCAAATAATCATAAAAACAAATAAAATGTTTACACCAGGAGAATCTCACAATTTCTTCCTTTACCTTTCACAACTTCAGAATGGTTTGCTTTGGAACCAGAGGCCTGAGTGTCCGTAGAAGCTGTTTGTCCTACGATGGACAATTCCTTTAAGCTTTGACCACCAGAGGAGTGTGTCACAGTGTTTTCACTGTTCACAGTAACAGCACTTGCAGGTTTGGCATTTTCCTGAGAAAATAATCAAGCAGAAAACTGTAAATGACTGGGGGGATTTTCTTGATTAATGATGGCCTGTCTGAAAGCTGTTTAACCCCTTTACACTCAAACATCAGTATGCATACTCTCCACACTGCTCTCTTTACATTTCCTTTGGTGCTGACAAGGAGAATTTCTTTAACAATCAAGAGTTTCTTCAGTTGGTGATCATTTCCTTTATTCTCATGACCTTAGTGTATGATTTAGGGGTTATTTTGTAAAGAGAAATTAGATGCTAGTCATTCTTAGAGGTAAAAGAATTAACAGAAAGTTATTTAAATGTAAACCTTTATGTTCAATTAAATTCACCTGTACTGCTGGTGTGTCCGTGTCTGTAGCTTTTCTCTCATCTGATGATTGAGTTGTTTCAGGAGCAGCTAAAGATTGAGGCAAAAGACACTATAATTAAACTTACTATAATCCTCAATGAGAGAAATTTCATTTGAGCTGTGGATGAAAATCAGGAAAAGCAATGATCTTTGCAGGTGAGCTGGAATTTGAGCAATTGGAAAAACGAATCCTAAAAAATTGAAGGCTTTGACAGGATTTGAACCTGTGCCTCCAAAACACTAGTTGCGTGCTACTACTAACTGAGCTATAGAGCCACATTTTGGCAGAGAGGCACATTTTTGAGGGTTCTTCTTTCCCATGGAGAAATCTCATCATAATTCTGAATGAAAAAAAATACATTTGACCTGTGGAAGAAAATCAGGTAAAGCAGTGATCCCTGTGGGTGGGCTACAATTTAAGTGATTGCAGAAAAGTCCATTGCTTAGTTCAATGGAATAAAAGGTAAAAGTTCAAATGTCTACTGCCAAGATACCTTCTCTTTGCGGCTTTCCTTCTACAGAAGACTGTTCAGGAGACACCTGAGGGGTTCTTGGATCTGCACTTGTGGTTTGAGGTCTCACAACAGCTGCATACATTTCCTCTTCAGTTTTACCACTATCAACTTCTTGCCGGTGCAAGTGCCCTCTGGACTTTAATGCAAATGAAAGCAGAGAAAACCATCCATTAGTTAACCTCAATAGTAAAAATGAAAATACTGTTTGGCATGGAAAAGATTAACCTTTCAATCACAAGATATAATATTGTTAATTCTTCCCTCTGACTGCTTCACATTTCCTTGTACATAAGTTACAAGAATTTGATGTTAGATCAAGATCAACTTCCACTATATACATTTCAGTATTCTCATCACCAGTTTGCTGGATATTATAGGAAGAAATTACATGTGAATCACTTCCGGAAGTGAAAGGGTTAGTAGGAAAAAATAATTACCTGCTCAATTTCCCGAGCTGCTTGTTCCGCTTTGAGCTCCATTTCACCAGTGCTATCCTTTGGAAGTGGTGTTCTAATGAGAATTAAAAGGTAAATAAGCAAGACTTTTGTACTGTTTTGGCTTGAGCTTAAGATGTAAAGCTTTATTTCCCACTCTTGTGGAAGATTTGCATTTCACTTACGTGTACTCCAACAAATCCTCATTGTATGTTGATTTAACACCAAACTTTTCCTCATTGGTTTTGAACATCTCATCTGCTGACCAGCCATTCTATATTAACCAAAACATTTGATTAACCATCACCATCATCATAAGAATACCTCTAGAAGCTAATAAATTCTGAGCCATTTCCCACAGTGATGTACACTACCTGAACATCTACATCAACTTCAACATCGCCGCTTGCAAACTGGCTTAGTTTTTGTCCCATGACAAAAATGCTTACAGCCATGACACCATTAACCCAAACTGACAGGAGAGCTCATTGACAAAGCTATGATCCGGTCACAAGAAAATATAGTAACTGGCTGAGTTCTCAATTCCAAGAGATCAACAATTCTTTCACCAAAATGTGTGATAAATTCTAAAAATGAAAATTTGCCAGGTTTCTCTCAAATATTATAGACAGTTCTATCATCAAACCCCAGATGATTCACACAAAAAGAAGACCAAATGGAGTGGAAACTGGAAAATGATGATTTGAATTAAAAATCTTGCCACAAAAACACAAGTTCAGAGCATCAAGAAACGAGCAAACATAGAACCACTCTATACAGTGGCCATATTGGATGTTTTAAACATGATCAATGATCTAAGTAAAAAAAATGTCTGAAGGAAATTAATCATGCATGACACAAAGAACAGGTACCATTCAACAGCTGGTTTTCAACAATAGCAAAACAAACCAGGAAACACAGCAGCCATTTGAGGAAATGCTTTGAAACAACACACATTTTAACACCTTTTGTTCCAAATGTCAAAAAAGAAATTGCTCTGAAAACACCTGTACTTTCCATGGAAAAAAATCTTCAAGCAACGTATCAATCAACAATTTGTGATTCGTTCACTATGTCAAAAAAAAATCCAAAAATCCATCCAGTTTGAAAAAAAAAACCCCTCATGAATGTAGTTGCTCAAATTCACTTTAATTTCATAGTACAAAAAAGTATTGCTTCACTGATGCAAATTGTATATACTTAACCCTTCAACCCCTAAGATTAAATTGTGAATTCTCCCCTCTAGCTGCTACACAATTCCTTATAAATTAGTCTTGAGAATTTGGTGTTGGATCAAGATTACAACTTTTACTGGATTAACTTGAGTATTCTCACCACCTGTTTGCTGGATAATGTATGGATATTTTAGGGAGAAGTTATGTGTTCCACACTTCTGGTAGTTAAAGGGTTGACTAATGTCAAAGTTGTTTACTTAAACAACTAATCAACATTGGCAACTACACTAAAAAGACCCAATTGAAAAAAAATTTATTTACCACTTTCACATTATCTTCCAAGCCTCCTCCAATGTCAGGACCATCTGGAACCCATCTCTGAAGATGAAAGACAACAGTATTACAACACAGAAAAGCATGCCACATTTTGATTAATATAATGCACACCTTCTGGAAATGAGTTACAAGTATTCATGAAATTTCCAGATCAATATCAGTATC